TTCAAGAAGTTTTTTGATGCAAACTATGATGGAAAAGACTATGACCCTGTAGCTGCCAGGCAAGGTCAGGAAACTGCAGTGGCTCCTTCCCTCGTCGCTCCGGCACTTAATAAACCGAAGAAACCTCTTGGCACTAGTAGTGCAGGTAAGAAGAAAACTCCATTTGCAAATAATAGTAGCCCAGGTATACATGCATTTAGCATTCCAGCTAAAATTTGTTGAATTATCTGTTGTTTGAACCATTGATTTTTAACTGACCTGTAGCTGACCCTCAAGTGAGTTTTCAGTGGTAGAAAATCACACGAGAGGACATTGCCCATCTTTTTCCTGTGGAGCAGCTGGTGGATTTGAACCACATACCTTTTTATGTTGGCTGTGCAATTCCTTATCACTTAAGTCACCAGAACTCCATAGGTTAGCTATAGATTCTGCTTTTCAGGGGCATTATATCAGGGTGCTACATCTTTTTGAGGGCCATGTGGCTGTGCAAACAAGATCATGGATTCTGGCATTAGACCATTAAAGTTTATTTTTAGGTTACTGCACTCCTGTGTAAGATATTTTAAATCTCACTTAAATGAGAATTTTAAGGGTTGTTCTAGGGGGTTGCTTAGAGATCTGAGGAGTTACTGGTTTGTTTGTTTTTAAAATTTTTTATTGTATTGTTTTTACGTGTACCGTCAAATCTGATCTGACTAGTACAGGAGGAGATTGCCCCCTCATTCTCCAGCAGAGCATCTGGTGGATTTGAACCGCGTACCTCTGGGATTGCAGTGCAGCGTCTTGCCACTAAAGAGTTACTGTTTTGCAATGCTTTCTAATTGTACAAACTAGAAATCCCTTCAGGCTCTTATGAAGGAGAGGAGAGCTTTAGTTTAATTATAAGGACATTTCATCACACTCGGATGGAAATTTCGAATCAAGCCTGAACTCTCTCCCAAAAGAGGAAGACTTTTCTAGCTATCTCTGGGACTGTACTTGGCTGTCTCCCTTATCATCCTTATCAGTTACTTAGGCTTTCTTATCCAGGCCTAGAACACTAACTGTGTATGATGATAGCTAAGGTACAATTTTAGATCTTCAGAAAGTTTTGGCCGCTAGTAGATTTTCTAAAATATCTGTAATAGAATATTCATATGTATACAAATGCTAATTCTTTCCCAGAAGGTAGTAGGGACATTAGTTAAGGTAACTTTGAGAGAGGCTAAACCATCTGGTAGGTAGACTGAGTCCTTTTTTATTCTTAATACCTTTATTGAGACGTAATTCACATTCCATAAAATTCACTCATTTAAAGTGTAATTCATGGGTTTTTGGTATATTCAGAGTTGTAAATTCACTAAATCAATTTTGGAACATTTTCATCACCCAGCAGAAAAACCTCATGCTCATTAGCAGTCATTTAACATTTCAACCTAACTCTCCAGCCCTTGGCAACGTTCTCTTTCTGTCTTGAAAGAATTTTATATTCTGGAAAATATATTCTATATTTATAGAGAAATGAATACACTCCTAGGATATAACCGAGTCTTTTGTGATTCTTCTTTCATTTAGCATCATGTTTTCAAGGTTCAGCTGTATTTTAGCTTGTGTTAGTATGCCATTTCTGTATACTGCCAACTAATATTTCATTTTGTCGATATATCTTCACCATTTCATGGGCTTTTGACTTTTATCCACTTTTTGGCCCTTAGCTGCTGGACATAGGTTTTCATTTTCTTAAAATATGCTAAAATTACATACTCTTAGAATGGAATTGCATGGTTGTGTGCTGTGTTTAACTTTTCAGAAATGCCTGTTTCTTAGAGTAACTACATTCCTGTCAGCAGTTAAGTGGATTCTAATTTCTCCAGCTATTGAGTACATTCATTCCTTAGTTACTTAGAATTGCAAAAGTGTTAGCACTGCATGCATTTCATATTTTAGATACTACTGACAGTCTAGTTGAGACTTTTATCAAACATTCGGTCATTGAGATAAACATATACCAGAGAGGGCTGTGCAGAGGAAATGGCTGTTACTCTGGGTAAAAGGCCATATGGTTACTGAGTTTGGAGTGGCAAGGTGATCAGCTATTTTTAAGCCTAGTTCAGAGTTTGTTTTTATTACTGGTATGTACTATTAAATTGGACCTACTCCTAGCTGATCCTCCAGTGGGTTTTCAGGGACAGTGAATTTCATGGGAGGAGGTTGCCCATTCTGCCCCTGTAAAGCAGTTGTATTCAAACTGTGTGCCTTTAAATTAGTAGTGGGGTTTCTTACCTCTAGGCCTCCAGAGCTTCTTTAGTGTATATACAAGCTCTATGAAATAATTGCCGAATAAATGAAATAATGAGTAATATGTTTACCTTGAAGGCATACGTCTTGTTGTTGTTGATTGCTGTTGAGTCAATCACAACTCATAGGGACCCTATGAACAAATGGCCTGAAGCCTTTCTATAACTATTGACATTTATCAAAGTTCATAGAGTTTCTGGAGGCATACTATTTTTATCTGATATGTAGATGATATGGCCCCTTACTAGTTTTTCCTTGTCTTTGCCTGTTTTAGGTAGTTTATATTTGGCTAAGTCAAGTAATCTAAAAGATGAGCAAAATTTTAATTAGTGGTAAGAGTAGACTTTATTTCCCTTTTGGCTTCCTTCTGCTTCCATATCCATGAAGCCTAATAGGAAGCCTGAGTTAAGAGACATTTCACTTTCCAGATAGGAACCATGTGCACCTGGCAACAGCTGGGACTTTGACTCACTCCGGTTGTGAAGTTTGCATTAGCTTTGTGAAGTGCTTCATATATAGATTTGGTTGGAGGTGAGTCATGGTAGAGCATCTGTATGTAGCAGGTCTGTCGCTATCATATGTGATAGCCCTCATCACCCCAGCAGCAGAAATACCTCATCAAAGGATTTACTCTCAGCACAAAAGATCATGGTTCCATTGGTATTTAACTTTCCTTAGAAAGAAAAAGCACATGGGCAAATGTGGAGCTCCTATATTGTTTGTGCGGGCTTTCTAGCATGGGTTAGTTCCCTACCCTGAGCACTGTGGGCAACACAGTGCACAGCTGAGGTGGCTGCAATTTTTTTCTTGTTGTCTTATGGATCTCTTGTTGTCTTTGAAATTTTTCATTTAAAAATTCCCTCTTCCCTCAGAGTGATTCCTTTCGAAATTCTAACAGATGCCTTTATAGAACTGGAAAAATCAATTCATTGGAATTTCAGGGGGGCCTCAGAAGACACCCCTAGTGGCTGAGTTGTAAGAAGTTGCACTGCCAACCCAAAGGCCCATGATTCAAATCTACCCGCTGCTCTGTAGGAGAAGGATGGACAGTCTCCTGTGCGATTTACTCTCTCTGAAAACCTACTGGAGGGTCAGCTATGAGTTGGTCCTAACTGTGATGCATAAAAACAGTAACAATAATTAGAACAATCTTTATCATACATTTAGTAATTTCTAAACATATTAGAAAGCTACTATAATCAGAACACTTTGGTACTGATAAATAAATTTATAGATAAATGGAATAAAATTGAGAGTCCAGAAATAAACGTGTACATCTGTGACTAGTTGATTTTCAACAAGGATGCCAAGTCCATTCAAAGGGGAGATAGTATCTCTTCATTTAATGATACTGGGGCAACTAGATTACCACATGCAAGGGAATGAAGCTGGACAACAAATAGATGAAAATGAGCCCAAAATGGATCAGTAGTCTGAATCCACAAAATTCTTAGGGGGGGTTATTTTCAGACTATAGGTTTTTTTGATGTAACACTAAAACTATGAGTACCAGAAGATAAAATGTATAAATGAAACTTCATCAGAATTAACATTTATACTTCATAGGACAGAAAGTTCTGTTAGCTTGTCGCTGTTATGTGCCATCAAGTATACTCCAGTTCAGTAGTGACCCTGTGTACAAGAGCTCTGAACCCTGCTCTATCCTGAGCCAATTTCATCATCTCTGACCACCTGCCTGCATTACCCCACTCACTGAGTCAATCCCTTTCATTCAGTGTCTTCCTCTCTTGAGCTTCCAAGAATGATGTTTCTGTCCAAGGGACTAGTCCCTCCTTGCAACATGCCCTAAGTGTCAGACATCCTTGTTTACAAGGAGCAGCCTAGTTTCACCCTTTCCAGGAAGGACCTGTTTGTTCTCTTAGCAGTCCATAGCATATTTAGTACTCTTTTTCAGCACCGCAACTCAAAAGCATTGATGATTCTTCTATCATCCTTAGTCATTGTCCAGTTTTCTGATGCATAGTAAGTAATTGCGAAGACCATAGCCTGGATCAGGTGCACCTTAGTCTCTAGATTGACAGCATTGTTCTTCAGTACTCTTCAGTCCTTGACCACAGATTTTCCAAGTGCAATTCATCTTTTGATTTCCTGGCTGCTGGTACCAAGAGTGTGGATTGTGGAGCCAAGCAAGCTAAAGCTTTTAACAGTCTCATGCTCTTCACCACCTGTCATGATGCTGCCAGTTGGCCCAGTGGTAAGAATCTTCGTTAAAATTACAATAAAATAGTTTTTCAAAAAGAACTTCTTCTTCCAGGAATTGGAATTTGTTCCTAGAACTATCCGCTCTCATTTGGATCCCTACCCAGTGCTCACAAGGTCTAAAGCTATACCGTATGACTTCTGTCACTGCTCTTCATCATGGCTGTCCAGCTTCTTGCCTACACACTAAGAATGGATGTTCCATGCCTCCCTGAGTATCTGAACCATCTAGAAACCTTTCCATTTTAGAACACTGAGTTTTACACTCGCTGTGTGCCCTTGTCATCAGCCCTGCAGCCAGTGTTCTTTCTTCCCTTTCTGATATGCACCAGTGATTACTGTTATGGGTACAAATGATGCAGAATCCAAGCACCCTATTCTTGTCCAGCAAAAAAGGGAGGTGGGTGGTGATAGTAATCTAGTTGTTTAACTCGGCATCAGTTAAGACATTATCAGATAAATTCCTGGGAAAAATAAAAATGAAACAGTAACCATATGACCTAGCAAGTCTGCTTACAGGTATCTGCCCCACAGACTTGAAAGCAGGAACTCAAAACAGACCAGCTACAATAGCTGAAGGGTGGGAACAACTCAGGAGACCATCAACAGATGAGTGACTAAATGAGATGTGTATCTGTACAACATTGAAATGAAGTCCTGATCCAGGCTGTGAAAACATGCTAAGTGAAATTAGTCAGAGAAAAGGATGAACATCGTGTTACCCCCACTCAGGTGAAATATCTAGACAAGGCGAAGACATAGGACTATTAGTTGCCAGGAGTTGAGGATGGGGGAGGGGGGGAATGTGAGAAATTAACTATTGACGGTGTACTACACTTCCCTTTGGGTGACAGAACTTTTTGGAAAGGCGTACTGGGGATTGTTGTCTAACATGGTGAACGGAATTGATGGCACTAACTTGTACTTATAAAACTAGTTAAAGTAGCAAATGTGTGGTTGTATGTGTCTTACTATATTTAACAAAGAAAACTTCACACATCATCCAATCCTCTTTCAGCTCCACAGAGGCCCATTTCAACACAGAGAACTACTGCAACTTCTAAGCCTGGCCCTGGTGTGGTGAGAAAGAATCCTGGTGTGGGCAATGGGGATGATGAAGCAGCTGAATTGATGCAGCAGGTAGGCACCTTCTACATCCAACACACATGTCACTTCAGGGGAAAGGCCACTTGGCATTGACTGTTGGGAAGACTTGTCAGTGCTCTGATATGCAGGCCTGCATTGTCTGATTGTCAGAACCATGCCTGTGAATCTGAGCGCTCCAGGCGCTATGAAAGGAGCAGGAGTGTGAATATAGGAGGGAAAGAGGACAGATCAAGCATTTCTGGAACCTGCTAAATTGATAAAAACTGATTTTCATGGAATAGAAACTAGCTTCCAAAATGAAACCTCATGGGGTGTTTGTTGAATGCTGTCTGGATTCTCTGGGATTTTAGTTATCTCCTGAATTTTGGCTCTGAGAAAAGAAAAATAATGGTTCTTTTCTGAATAATAATAATGGTATTAAAGGTCCTGCCCTCTTTGTTCTGAATCCCAGCTGTGTCACTTTTTTCTGCCTGGTACAAGTCCATTAACCCCTCTGCAACTCATGTAGGAAGTGGAGCAATCCCATTGTTGCTGTGAGGAATCACTAGCGATTTGAGAAGGGAAATTGCTGTGAAAAGCGTTTTATGGCTGTGGTTCTTTCCTCATAGTTTAATGATTTTGAATTGTCTTGGCTTTTTCAGGATTAGCTAAATACCCTTAGAATTTTTATCAGAGGTATCTATTAGAACAAACTTTGGCTTTTTAGAAACATTCTCTTTGCTTTTGAATAATTCTCTGGACTCCAGTTTTAAAATCATTGACACCCTGTGATCCTAGTGAAGTTGGGACTGGACATTTTTCATTTTCTAGAAGCCAAGTCCTAAAATCTGAGAGAATTAACCCTCGTTTAGGCCACAATTTCTTGATACCTATGTCTATGCTTTTAGGAGGTTGGGAACATGAGCGCCTACCCAAAGATCACATTTCATTTTTTGTTCTCTAGTTCTAGTTCTTGTTCTAATTGCCTTGGGAGTGTCATAGTAACTGGGTCAGTCTTTCTGTTGATATCATAAGCACCCTTGGGGTACTGTCATTGGAGGACCAAAGTCCACGAAAGTAAAGCTTTTTTAGACTTGGACTTATTTTGTTACTGTATGTGCTATTGAGTCACCCACAACTCGACCCTGTGTACAACAGCTCTGATCCCTGCTCTACCCTGAGCCAATCTCACTCACTCCGACACACCTGTCTCCACTACCCCAGTCACTGTGTCAATCCATTTCATCCTGGGTCTTCCTCTCCTCCACTGTCCCTCCACCCTTCCAGTAATGGACTGGTTCCTTCTGGCCATATGCCCAGAGCATGTGAGATGGAGCTTTCCTAATCCTTGCCTCCAAGGAGCAGCCTGTTTGTTGTCTTGGTGGTCTGTGGTATGTTCAGTATTCTACTCTAGCACCACAGCTCAAAGGCATTGATTATTCTTTTCCTTCTATTCCTAGTCCTCTAGTTGTTGTCCAGCTATCTGATGCATAACAAGTAATTGTAAAGACCATCACCTGGATCAGGTGCACCTTAGTCTCCAGACCTCCATTGCTCTTTAAAACAATAGTGGGGTCCCTGACAGCCAGTTTCCCCAAAGCAATGCATCTTTTGGTTTCCTGATTTTGGTGTCAGAAAATGTTAAAGGAAATAATTATTAAAAACAAAAAAACAAGAGAAAAGAGTTGTTAAAGCCAGGGTGAAGTAGCCACAGGCTGGTCTTGTGCTCTCAGCAGTAGAGCCACATGCTCTCCAGTCTGCCTGCTCTATCTTGTGTTGCATAGATTGGGATGTCCTGACTCTGCTCTTTTACTGGGACAAGTTTGCGGACCTCTCTGAAGCCATGGCCTTATGTGGGAAGCGGGGGCTAGTAGTGCTTTGCCTTCTGGATACATGAGCTGATAGATGTTCGGTCCCTAGAGTGTGTTTGGTAACAGCACCATTGGGATAAGTGATGATGGGATAAGTGGCAACTCTGATTATTATAGTCTTGGTAGAGTGAATAAATTCTGAAGTATTTTTAGAAGTTCAGGGTTTTTTTTCCCTTGGAGTGGGGCACTCATACATAAAATAATAACAGAAATAGTGAACATTTTTAGAGTGCTTTTGCATGTACTCTTCTTAGGTCTTTTTTAGTCCTTGGCGTCAGTCCTATGAACTTCTACAGATAAGAACCATGTGGCTCTGGGAGGTTAACATAAGCTAGATTTCATGCATGGTGTATCTAGCTCCTGAGCCTAGGTAAGTCATTGCTGAAATACGGAAGTGAATGAATAGAGGAAGTTGTGTGGGTCGCTAGACTAAAAAAACTGTGGCTTTTTGGTTAGCATCCTAGTACTGTATGGCATTATGCCACCAGAGCTCCTTAGATTTTTTTTTTTCAGTAGGAACCTGAAAATTGTTCCTCCCTTTTAAGACTTCTTTGGCTCCACAAGTGGAATCCAGAAGGCTTGATGCCCTTGAGGATATGTAGGCCAGAGAAGATGTTCATGGCTTGTTGGATGACCACTGGAGAATGTCTATCTGGAGGTAGACCTTCTCCAGACTGACATTCCATTTTAAACTGCTTTGACCTCCCTCTTCTCAGTCATTAATAACATGTGCTTACAAAATCTGTTCTCTGCTTTGTGGACTTAACGTAGTTGAAGATCTTACAGTGTTGGACAGTACTTCTTTTTCTGTACTTAAATACCCTACTTTGGGGTAGCTGATAAGTTCAAAGGAGAAGGAAAGTAGCAGCAAAGCCAGAAGTAGGGAGAGGTGGGGGAAGTGGATGGCTTAGCTTTGCCAGCCACCAGGTTAAGGTAGTAGTACTCTTTTTTTTTTTTTTAAATTATTTATTTATTTATTTTTATTATTTTTATGTGTACCGTCAAATCAGATCTGACTGGTACAGGAGGAGATTTCCTCCTCCTTCTCCAGCAGAGCATCTGTTGGATTTGAACTGCGTACCTCTGGGATTGCAGTGCAGCATCTTGCCACTAGGCCACCAGAATTCCTAAGGTAGTTGTTGTTACGTGCCGTCAAGTTGTTTGCGACTCATAGCGACCCTATGCACAACAGCCCTAAACCCTGCTCTATCCTGTGCCAATCACATTGCCTCTGACACACCCATTCCGAGTACCCCAGTCACTCAATCAATCCACCTCATAGAGGGTCTTCCCCTCCTGTGCTGTCCCTCTACTCTACCCAGCATGATGTCCCTCTCTAAAGACCTGTCTCTCTTTTAAAAGTGTTATTAAGTATTTTCTGGGGCTGATAAAGGAATAGTGAACAACTGTAAAAAACCTTGTCTAGAACAAGGATTTTGATAATGAATTTGTAAGTTAAAAGCTTCTCCATCTTAGTACTTCTTCACTGCACATCATGAAGAGGACGCTTTAAGTCCTCCCTCAGACAGAATTTGATTCCTGCCATTGTATCACATTGGGAGGCCAGTCCACTGCTTGTTTCAGTTTGGGCAGCAGCTTTTGGAAGTTTGGGCTTACATGGTTTCCATGATGCCTACCTTCTGGCTCTCAGAATTCTGGCTTCCCTAAGGATCTTCAACTTTGGATTGCTGCCATAGCCTGCCGTGTTGCTCTGTGCTTTTGTTGGGCAAGTATGCCATGTACTTTTTGTTCCATAGTAAAATTGACTTACTTGTCATAAGTTTGAATATGTTCTAATGACAAGGAGGATGCACCACGGTTAAAGTACAGAAAATATTGTGAAGGATACTAAATACTTTTACTATTCTCAACTAGATATAGGATTCTGATAATCTATGGAAATTCCTTAGGGATTGCGGGAGGATCAAGGAGGATTGATTTTTTTTTTTTTAAATTTTTTTTTTAGGATTGATTTCTTGATAATTCCTTTGTTGGAATCATAATTCCTTACGGGGACTTTTGGAGCAGCCCATACCATGTGTGTGGGCCAGTGAGATGTTCTGTGGAGCAAGCTCCGGAATGTAATTGCCTCTTCCCTATGTCTCCTGTCTTCTCTCCCTTTTGAAGATTCTCAGAGGGAGAGAGGGAGGTACCAGAACCTAACGTCAAAATGCAGCTCTTTGAGAGACATGATAACACCTCCTCCCAAGATGACAGAGATAAAGAACCAGGGAGTTTTCTGTGTCCAGCCTTCTCTTCGTCCTTGCTATTAGTAAACTTTCTCTGGGCTTCCCCTAGTCTCTGTTCACTTACGTCCTCGGGGCCAGGTTCCGTTTCAGTGTGCATGATAGGAGTTCCTGTTAATGATTTTTGATTGTCGACCACCTTGTTGGGCTGGGCTGTGTAAGTTCTACTTTTTTATTTGTCTTGGACTGCCCTAGTTTTCCCCTGTTAACCATTCCTTAGTTCTTGTATGTTCTGAGATATGCTGTGCCATTTCCTGGGTACTTTTGTTACTGTCAAGGTTGCTGTGAATAAGTCCATTTTATCTGGGGCTGAAGAAAAGGGACAAACGAAAGTGGGAGTTTATGGATGTTAGTTTGGTCAAAGAGCTTATCTCCTTTTTGTTTTAGAAATTTGATATGTTGCTGATACATTTATATGAGTGTCTAATAGTTTTTAACATCTTGTGCAGGTCAACGTATTGAAGCTTACTGTTGAAGATTTGGAGAAGGAGAGAGATTTCTACTTTGGAAAGCTAAGGAACATTGAATTGATTTGCCAGGAGAATGAGGGGGAAAACGACCCCGTATTGCAGAGGATTGTGGACATTCTCTATGCCACAGACGTACGTGTTGACATGTGGATGTTTTCCATTTTGCCTCCTAAGGAAAAATACATTTTATCTGTTGGTTTCAGCGAACTTTGTCATGCTGCAGTGTGGCTTTCATCAGAAGGCTTCATGAATGAATCTTCAGAGTCAGCCAGATGACACCTGTGTCCAGCAGTTTCTGCCTTGAAGTATTTGAGTCTTCGAGGCAGGAATAGGACAAGGAGGTGGCTGGTTTGCCCTGCTTCTGTAGTATGTGTCCACTGACCACACCCCTATTGTATGTACTCCCTCTCACCCTGCATCTGAGACTTCTCTATTGGAGATATAGCCACCATTTTAGCCAGGGTCCCAGAAGTACCCTGAAGAATGACACAGATGGCATTTTGGTGTTGTCTGCCCACAGCTGTCAGAACAGTCTTGCTATTTCATCTAAGGAGCTCACCTGGTTTGCATTCTCTCAGTGTTTTGAGGTTAAGTTTCATTTGGCTTATATGTATTATGGGCTGAATCTGCTAACTATTCCTGATAGGTTCTCTAATCAGGAAAGACAGTTTTCTTAGATTTACATTTTGGTCTCTTGCTGTGTCCACTATTTAAAGACCTTTATTTTTATGATACTTCATACCTAGAAGGGACTGGAGGATCAAGCTAGACTTAATCTCAAAACTTGTTCTGTAGTTTGTGTAGCACATTACACAGACATAAGGTAATATTAATGCTGTTACCAGCACCTTCTAAATAGATCTGGTGGATTTTGGAAAACTAAGACAAATGACTGAAGAGCTGAGAATTAGTTCAGTAAATTTTTACATCTTGTTTGGTGCTAGATAATGAAAACAGTACTATAGATAAGGATCCTGTCATATCTCATGGTCTGCTCTGAATATTATTTATTTTTAGCCACAGTTTACTGAAATAATCCATTAGGATTCAGTTAAAAAAGTTAGAAGGAGAAGCCTGCTTATTGTGGTAGTTTAGTCATTCCTAATGTGTATGTGCCAAATGTTCTGAAATGAATGAGTGACAGAGATGGGAAGAGAGTATGTGTGAACATGTTTGAGTGTTGGGACTTAGGGGACTTTTGGGGTTCCATCAAAGGACTGTGTAAAGGAAGAACAGTCTGTGTAGGACTTGCTGAGAGGAGATGGTGTCAGGTGCTGAATTTTATGAATAACCTTTTCAAGGATTTTTGAAGGTACCTTAAAAAACCAAACCCCAAACCTAATAACTTTATTGAAGTTTGCACATATTTCAAGTCTATCATTTGCTAACCTGATATGTGAAATCATTGCCACAGTCAAGATGATGTACGTGCCATAATGTTTGAAACTGAATTTGACTGTGTTCAGTTTTTGACTTATGTGAGATGTGATTTCACTTTGCATGGTTAAATCAAGATTTCAAACCAGTGGGAATTATTCAGCCATGGCTGACAAGTGAAGTCTGAACAGAGCTGAATTTGTAAATGGGGGTGTACTGGAATGTTCACCAGGACAGGAAAAGTTACTGGTCAGAGCCTGTGGGAGATTGGATTATTGCCAGGACTGAGGAGACTGACACACATTCAAAGTGGCATGGTTGACTGCCATCTTTAAGTCAGAGTGTTGTCTCTGGCTGTGTCTGTCAAGAGATTTGGTGATGATACAACAAGCATGCAGCCCTTGATTCTGAGAGAGAGAGAAAGTTTCTAGCAGGGCACTGAGCTGTAATTTCCCCCTCTGTGGTTATCATTCTGGTCCACTCCCTTTTGGCAAATTTAAGCCCGTTCTAGTTTCACTTCACTGACTATGACCGCACCTGGAAGAGTCAGCCTGAAGTCCTGGGTTAAATACCAAGTGCTTGATGGAGATGGGAGGAACCTTTGAATTTAAGAAGTTTTAAAAATGAGGAGAGGGAGCCCACAGTAGACACTGGCCTTCATTCTCTATCAAGTAACAGCCTTTCTCCATTTCCCATTGTAGGAAGGTTTTGTGATACCTGATGAAGGCGGCCCACAGGAAGAACAGGAAGAGTATTAACAGCCTGGACCAGCAGAGCAACTGAATTCTTCACTCCAAATCATGTGCTTAACTGTAAAATACTCCCTTTTCTGATTCTTAGAGGACTCACTGGTTTCTTTTCATAAGCAAAAAGTACCTCTTCTTAAAGTGCACTTTGCAGAAGTCTCACTCTTTTTTCCATAAGTTTGAGTTAGGAGCTTTGACCTTGTAGCAAAGCAGTATTAACATCTACTTGGTTCACCTAGAAAACAAAGAGGCCGACCATGGGCTCCCTGTGTGGTTGCTGGAGAAGGTGTCAGCAGAGAAATAGACTGAATTCAATTTGAAGTTCATGTGAAATCTTGGCAGAGAACATATAAGAAATAAATGCCTTAAGAGTATTTAAAATGCTCTTCCTTATTTCCAAATGTAAAGTGTAACATGCCAGATGATAATTGTGTGTTGGACGTTGTTTAGGAAGGAGGGCTCGATCTTGGAACCTTTGTTGGAACCTGCTGTTGGTCAGCCTTGCAGGACTGCTTAAATCCTTGGAGGCCGAGACATTGGCCCAATGGTAAAGTTCTAAGAATTGCTCTGTGAAGCCATTTGGTACCACTGACCAGTTGCATCCTTGATTAAAAAAAAATGAAGAGAGATTGTTGCCCACATGAATAGAGAATGTGTTTCAGCCCTGAGATGTTAGAAAACGCCTATTTTCAGGGAGCTTTCTTTTCTCCTTAAGATTTTCCCAATTATTTCCCAAACTACTGTGTATTGTGTATTTTGGGAATGGTGTGTCTAGTTTGTCAGTCTTAACACCTGCTTGGGGAACTTGCCCACTTCTGTGGGATTTAAGTGGGGGGCTGTGTCCCATTTTACTGTTTCTTAAAGTTTACATGTAACCTTTTTTTCCTTCTCTGCTCCCTTGCCCACTGGGAATTCCTCTTTGTTGGCTTCTTAGCATTTTCTTCTTAGAGTGATGATGATGCTGCAAGTTCTTTCTGGACCTCTGGCAATGGGAGTGAACAGTGAAGGCTGTCCCTACCTTGGGATCTGCAGGGCT